ACACCCACCTCTCTGCAGCCTACAAGACACAGGACACAGAACTGGGTACCCACTTTCCAGTGGGGTAGATGGTCACTAGTAGGAGGGCTCCATGCCACGTGCCAGCCCAGAGGTGAAGACTCAGTAACTGTGGCCATTGCCACACTCCTTGGTCTTCTGTTTATGAAATACTTGAGTAAGCAGAGCAGGCAGGAGACTGGTCTGTGGGACTGGGCTGGCCTGGGGAGAAGGCTGAGGGTGGCGTACCTGCAATGCTGAAGGTCAGCCAACAGCACATCAGTCTGGGTTCCAGGGGCCTTCAGCTGCCGCACGGTCACTGAGTGGCCCCTCCACAGAAGGCTGGAGATTGGGGGTGGGGGAAGTATGCTTCTGAGACAAGGAGATTTTCCTTGTGAGGGGAGCAGGAGAGCTGGACTCTCTCCAGAGCTCTGCTGGACAACCAGGCAGGGGTGTGGGAGGGGTTGTCTCTCACTTGACCATGACTGTATGGGAGCTGCTCTCATAGGTGCAGTCGGGCTCGCCCTGGGGTGGCAGCAGCTCCTTGGGGTCCACGAGTGGTATGCCTGTTACCAGCCCCAGTGGCCACAGGCTGCTCATCTGGGGGTGGGGGGGCGGGACTATGAGGCATGAAGAGGACAGGTGATCCCTGCTCCCCTGCCCTCTCCCGCTTACCTGGCCAAACCCCAAGGCTGGGATCTGTGGGGGTCTCCTGATCTTCGCTGGCCTTGGTGTCCTAGGGTAAAGGGCAGTCCAAGAGTAAGTCTGGGGTAGTTGGGAGTGGTGGGTGGGCGGGTTTCACATTGTGGACAGTTACCTGTCCGCCTGCACCAGCCGCATCAAGGACAGGGAGCCACACGGGCTGTGTCCAGAGCCGGCCTGCAATTGGCCCAGGGATGCAATGGATGCCAACTCACCACCGTGCACTAGTGCTGATATATGGGTACGGCAGAGTTGTAACAGCTCTAGCACCTGGATAGGGGGCATGTGGGGTGAGGTAGGGTGGGGGTGCTGGCCCCGATGCCCCACTCCACTTGGGCCACTGCTCACCTCCTGGCTCCGCTTAGTACCACCCTGCTCTGCCCAGTCCCGAGGTGTGCGACCCTGCTGGTCATGCAGACGCAGGTCACCTCCCGCCTGCAGCAGATGCAACATCACCAGGCTGCGGCCTGAGAAGGCACCTGCATGCACGGGTGTGCTGCCATCGAGGCAGCGGCTGCAGCAGAACAATAAAGACAGGAATAGATTAGAAAAGGGACGGAACAGGGACAAAAGGTAGCAGGATAGGAACATTGAAGGACGAAAGGGGTCACTGGGAGGTAAGAGGGAAAGGTTAGGGGAGTAGGGGCCACCCATGTCCGCTTCATGAACATGGAAAGTAGATATCAGGATAGGAGGGATTGCTTGGGGACAAGGTGGGGTCTTTGAGAGGATGAGAGGATCATTGTGAGCACATGAGAGGCACCAGGAGACTGGGAATAGTCACTGAAGGACAAAAAGGGGTTAACTGAGAGGACAAGAGGGGTCACTGGGATTAGGAGGGTCATCAGGGGATGGGAGGAGTTTGTGAGGGCAAGAGGCCTCTAGGGAAGAGAACTCTGGTTCTGCGGGGCTCAGACTCAGGGCCCTGAGAGTGTGAGGGAATCACCACCTGCCCACTCACTGGTTGGGGTTGGCGCCAAAGGCCAGCAGGAGCTGCACAGCAGAGCTATGGCCCAGCAACGCTGAGAGAAAGAGCCCCGTCTGCCCAGCAGAGTTCTCACCATCTACCTGGACAACTGAGAGGCAGCGAGGCTTAGGACTATCCCTGCCCTTTACTCCAGGCAACACCTTTGCCAGTTCCCAGCCCCCACAGTCCCTCCCTGACTGGGTGACCCTTGACCCCAGTTTCCATCCCTATGTCCTGGAACTGCCACCCTACAGCTGCTGGGGACTCTGCCTTAGAATCCATCTCAATGCAGCACTCACCATTAAGTCCAGAGAGCTGGAACAAGGGGTGACATTTACCTGCCATTTCCATCCCAGAGGTGTCAAAAACACACAAAGGTAACCGGGGGGCCAAAAAAAAAAAGGACTTTGTGGGGACTTGGGCTTACAGGAGCTTTGTGCACTGCCCAGGGCAGGTAGCCTCCACCCAGCTCTAATTCAGTATATGTACAGGTCCCATTCAATTTTTCAAGAAAAGCAAACTCTCTGGATTTTATCAGGAAATATCCCAAGCTTATTTTTGAACACTGCACCTAAGAGCAGAATCCAAGTAGCAACCTCTTCTGTACCTGACTCCATGCCCTTGCCAATTCCCTCTCCCCATCACACTGCTCAGCTCACCCCTCCCAAGACCTTATCTCTGCACCCATCATGCCCCAAGGCCTATTTCTCTGCACTCATCATCCCTGAGCTCCTCTTCCTCCAGGCCCTATCCCATATCCTCAGGGAGAGCAAATTCATGGCATCCTTGTCCTTGTACTTATGTCCTTGGCAGACATGGCTAATGAATTAAGCACTTTGTCCAACCCACAAAACCCCTCCAAATGAGGTCCCTCAGGAAGCTCTAAATATCACACTCACTGGCTCTTATTTTAAACTTAGCAGCCACCATCTTTTGCAATGACATTCTAACTAGTTCTCTGCATTTGTCTTGAATGATACTTGCAGAGAGATCTTCTTAAAATGCAAATTATTTCTTGATATGGATTATTATTGCAAGGATAAGCATTTCATTTCATTTCATGTATAGATACTTTTATACAAGTTGTTCTAAAATCATGAGTTTCCAGAACCAGAAAATGAAATTATATATCAATTCCATTTGTGATTATAAGTGTAAAACCCCTAAATAAAGTAAAAGAGGTAACCCAATCAATTTATTCCCGGAAAGCAAGGGTGATTCCACAAAAGGAAATCTATCAGTGTAATAAAACACATTCATAGAGGACAAAAATCATGTTTAACTCAGTAGATACAGAAAAGACAATTGATAAAATTCAACATCTATTTGGAAAGGAAAAAAGGAAAAAAAACCTCAGAAAACTAGGAATAGATGGGAACTTCCTTATTTGATAAAAATTATAAACCAAAACCAAAGAGCAAACATGATACTTAATGCAGAAACATAGACTCATTTCCTTAAATATCAAAAACAAGGAAACAGTTGCCCATTGACAACAAGGTTTGAAAAGTCTGGCTAACACTTTATGATAAAAAAAGAAAAAGTGTGTGAAAGAGAAATGAATAAATGAATGAACAAATAAATTAATAAATAATAAGTACATTAATAAATAAATTAGAGTTTAAAGATTAAAGGGCTGAGACCAAACTGTCACCATCTGCAGATAACAAAAAAGTAAGAGTCAACAATTACAACTATTAATCAAGTTCAGAAAGTAGCCAGATGTACAATCAATTTACAAAAATCAATGAAAAACAAATTGCAAATTGGGTAATATTAATTTCCTGCCTACAACGCCAATGGTTTCCCATCACATACAGGACAAAAATCCAACAAAATTCATATCCCTTTTGAGGCCCTTTCCTGTCCGTCCCTGCTGCCTCAGCTTTCATCCTCTCCCTGAGTCCCCTTGTTCCCTGGGGCTATTTACACATACCCAGTTTGTTTTGACTTCAGGGCCTTTGCACTGGCTATTCCATCTTTCTGAAATGCTCTTCCTCCAGCTTTTTGCATGACTGGCTCTTATACTGTGACACACAAGTATCACACCATCAGAAAGGCCATCCCTTCCAGTGTGTCTACTTCATTCTCATCACTCTCTTAATTCCCATAATAGATTTCATTCACAATGCCCTAATAGGTGATATTTAGCCCTAAACCCCTAACATAGACAACAGAGCCTGGTGCACAGTGGGTGCCTGGTATAAAATTGCTGACTGGACAACTGAAGTTGCACCCTCCATACTGCTCCTTGATCTTGCCCTCACAGGCAATTCCAACAGCCAAACCCTTACCTTTCCTAAGAAGCCGGATGAGGCTCCAGCCTGGGCCCCCAGCCACAGCCAGGCGATGCAAACGGCCCACCTGGGCTTTTGGATTCCCAACAGAGCCCAGCTCCACAGGTAAGCGAGAGCTCAGGGAGGGCATCTGTGGGCTCCAGACTCAGTCAACTCCTGGACAGGGATCAGCCAGGGGGTCTTACGAGGGCAAGAGGAGAAGACTGGATCCTCTGGGAGCAATAAAGACAGAGCTGTCTGGGAGTCCTGGAGGGCAGTCTGAAAGGAAAGGGGTTTGGGGTGGGGGTCTGATTTGGAGGGAAGTGTCTGAATGAGAATAGGGGTAGGCTCTGGGAGAGCTACATACCAGAAGATCAGGTGTCTACAGGAGTCTGCGAGCTGAAGGGGCTCTAAGGAAATCTGAGGGCTGGGCGCCCTCTGGAGGAGGGGTGTAAGGGCTACAGGGGTAGGATCTGGGCCGGGAAAAGGAGTCTGGGGGCTTGGCAAGAGGGTCTGACTATTACCTATGGATTGGAGGAAGAGGAGCCTGAGGGTTAGAATCTGAGACGGGGTGGAGTCTATGGGCTGTGAGAAGGGGCCCAAGAGTGGAGGACAGTCCCAGAACAGGGTCTGCGGGTTATGAAAGGGTCTGAGGGTTGGCGTGCGGGCTGAGGTTTAGGGAAGTGTCTCTACGCTGGGGTAAGGTCTGCAGGATAAGGGAAGGGACCGAGGGAAGGAAGAGGTCTGAGGACTGTGTCTGTGGGTGAGAGGAAGGAAGGGTCGGAAAAGAGCAGGCGCTGATAAAGGAGTGGGGCCTGCGGCTGTAGGAAGGGCGGAGAGGAAGAAGGCGGTCTGAGGGCGGGGTCTGCGGGCTAGGGGCGGGGTCTGGTGGACAGCTGAGGACCCAGTAAGATCTAAGAAGGTTCTGGAGCCCAGATCCCAGTCCAGGAGGCTTAGCACCTACCGTTGGGCTCCGACAGTGATCACCACGTGACCTTGGAGCACTAGCTCTGGCGATCTGGGTGGGTACTCTAGGCGCAGGCGCATCACTGGCCTCCTGCCACGTGTGAGCTTGCGCTGTAGCCTCTGAGAGGTACCACAACTATGCCCCGAGGTGACCAGAGAGAAGAGACAGCGATGTCCACCCCAAAGCTGTCAGCTATGCCCTACGTGTTTCCCCTTCTATTTTCCCCATTCCAAGACTTGTTGGAGGTGGCCGGTCCTTCGTGATCCCTGGCCTTGGCTGTCTTCGGTGCTTCTCTTCCACCTCCACGGGCTTTTTCCTCTGCCCTTGCCTCAGCCTCTCCTCCTTGCCCTAGACCCGGGGCTCCACAGTGTCCTGGACACCTCCTTCTGGATGTCCCCTGGGACCCTCATACCTACCAGATCCCACGCTGGCCTCAATATCTCACCAAAACTGCATTTCCTCCTGGATTCTTGTCTCAGGGTTGGCCCCACTGTCCTCTCTTCAAGCCAGAGCCCTGGGCCTTGCCCTGAAAGTCTTCCTCCCATACAGCCTATCAGCCCCATGTCCCACTCAGCCTCCTGATTGTCCTTTGCATCAGCCCCCTCTTCCTTTCCCCGCAGGTCCTCCCTTTGAGGATTACTCCAGCTTTCCCTGGGCTCCCAGCCTGCCTCCCCACTCTGGTCCACCCACCACATGGCAGCCAGGGGGATCTTCCTAAAACCAAACCAAACCTGACTCTCTCTCTCCTGCTTGAAACTTTCCTGACTCCCCAGTGTCCTTGACACAGGACCCATGTTCTGCAGTCTGCATCATCTGGCCCTGCCCATCCTCCGTCCTTGTCTTCTCAACCCCGGTCTGTTTGACACTTCTCTGTTTATGCACATGCCCTTGCTTTTGAAGGCTCGTCTCAATATTTACTTGGTTTCTTATGAATTCTCTGGAAAGTCCTCTTAATTACAAGGTGCCTCCTCTGGCCTTCCACAGCCTCCAGCTTTCCTCAATATTGCCCTAATTCTCTGCTTCAGCTTCCCCCATCATAGCCCAGACCACTCTGGGCTGTCACTGACTGAAGAGTAAGAGCCCTATGAGGCCAGGCCATAAGTTGTCTTGGTCACTGTTGTGTCCTCAGCATTGTTCAGCTCAGAGTCTAGCTCAGAAGAGGCCTCAGAAAATTATTAAATGAGCAATTTGCCTCTTTCAGGCATCCCTTCCTGCCCGTGTTGCCTTAGCCCAGCCTCTTGACTTCAGTGCCTCAGTGTCTGTTCTTCACTTGGGCATCCACTGGAGTGAAGAAAGTTCTCTCATCAGCCACTGTTGAGTAGAACTGACCTCAGACTCATTGCAGGACAGACTGCTTCAGGGTCAGGAGGAGGCTTCATTAGTCTTTGATCAATGCCCTCGTTATGCTCTAGGGTTATCTAAAGGTCTGTTTTGAGCTGCAGAGCACCATAGCTGGGCTAGCTGAGGTCAAGATTAGCCCTTCCCCAAGGAGGCGGCTTCAGTGCAGAGCAGCAACTTAGACAGTAGCTCGGGACCTTTATTGACCACATAACCCCTGGGGGTGCTAAAAGGGTAGCCTCAGGCCCCACCCAGCAGCCTCCTCCAAAGTTCTTGGCTGAGCAGCTCCCGTTCCCTGCGGGCACCCTGCAGCACACTCCGGTTCTCCTGGGCCCTCCGGATCAGGTAGGGGATCACCTCCTCCAGAGAGCCGTAGGGGATGGACTTATACACGGCATAGCCGGCCTGCCCTGTAGGGAGAGTCTTGGCAGGATGTGGGCTCATGCTTGGGGAGAGGTTCCCCCAGGCTCCATGGGAACAGACTTCCAGTTTTGAAATGTGGCAGACTAGGTGAGTTGGACAAAATTTCCCACTGGAAAAAAACCTAAAAATTCTGGAGTAAACATTTAAAAAATCTTAAAGTTATTAAAATGCTGCCAAGAGAATAAAGAATTTACTAATCCAAGAATTAAGAGAAAGTGAGAACCAGAGAGAGAAGGCATGCACAGGAAGCACTTCCGCCCTGAAGGTAAAATTGAGCCGCTATTTGATGACTTCATAGAGTTGAGGAGGTACAGAAATCAGGCCCAAAGCCTGCCCAGGGTGAGAGGTGTAAAGGAGAACTTCCCCACATTAAGCTGGAACATAAAAGTGTATACCCTCAGAGTAAGACTTCACAAGAAGTCATCCCTTCCACCTCTCCCACTCCCAGGGAATGGCCTTGACCATAAGTCGAGCAGGGAAGAAAATAGAGAAATCCATCTCTGAGAGGTTGTGGGTGTGTGTTAGTTGTCTCACATATTCGCAGCCCAAATTTGCATCCCTGGGATGCTTCAAGGAACCTCAAGCTGTGAATTTAGGATACAATGATTTTGTACCCTCTTAGCATCTGGCAGAAGAAAACATAAATCTTCTGGTCTCAGGCTCTGGGGAGCAACACAGTGAAAATGGTCATGTACACAGGAAACAAGACACCATGATCCAGAACCAGCAAACACAACGAAGAACAGGTACAGAGACACAGGCCTGCAAGACCTTTAAACACTGGAACAACAGATCTATCTGGAAGGGTCTGGAGACCGAGCCATCCGCAGGCGCTAGATAGGAGCCTGGCCAGGCATTAGTTGAGAATGGGAAAAGGAATCTGGTTGAGAGGGAATGAGGGCTGGGGCTGGGTGGGGCACGGTGGCGGTGGTAGGGAATGAGCCATTTACATACCCAATGCCAGGGAGACATGGTCACACATCCCCAGAAGTTGTCCAAAACAGACGGGCCCATCCAGAGGAATGCCCAGCTCCCACATGCTATAGAAAAGGCTACATCATCAATCCACATAGTGGCTAAATCTAGAGCTGAAAGTCAGCTATTATACACTCAATAGCTGTTCCAGTTATTTAAATATTGGAATACTTCTAAACTTGATAAATAATAATTGCTCGGAAGCCCCTGAAAGCTCCCCAGTGAGTCCCAACTCCTTCCCTGGAACCCTCAGACCTCCCCATGCCCTAGCAAATAACGAGTGATGCCTTGTTCACCTGGGGCATACAGGACTTACAGGTATAGCAGGCGTTAAATATTTTTAATACTCTTCCCAGAATCCCTTTGAACTTACTGTCCCCACACTGTTCCTCCCCTTGTTTCATGTCCACCACCCTCTGCCCATCCCTGGCATGTGAGCAAGGGAAAGGAAGCTCCCCTCATACCGCTTGGTTGCCTGGCAAACAGTTTCCTCATTGTGGGAAGCCACCATAAGGTGGCATAGAGGGCCACGTTGGGACACGTGGGTCAGCATCAGCTCCAAACAGCGGCTATAACTGAAGAGAGATGTTCCCTTCAGATATGGCACCTGTGAGTGAGGGTCAGGCCCCAGGGACCGGGCATTTCAGTTCTTGGGAGGTAGGGTGCCTAAGGGCAAGGACTCTGGAGTCAGAAAATACCTCCTTCCACCTGGACCAGCTAGCTTCAAGGGCCATCCCTTCTCCTTTCTCTCTTGTAACACCTAACAGTGATGTGAGGATGGAATGAGATGAGGGTGTACATAAAGCCTTTGGCACAATGGCAGTGTCACAACGAAGGTCCACATCACACACACAAAATAACATTTACTCAAGGTCATTCACTTGCAGCATTGTCTATGGAACATGATTAGCAACAACCCAAATGTCCATAAGTAAGGCACTGGCTAGGTGAACGATGGCACACACAGGATAGCAGAGTGCCATGCAGCTGTAAAAAGAACAGGACACTCTGGGCACTGATACGGCAAGGTAAAAAGACTGGCAAATGCTTTCCAAGCTTGCCGTAGGCTAGTGCCACCCAATGGCCTTCACGTACACTGCCAGTTATTCTCCATTGCCCTCCAGATCTGTTTTCGGCTCTTCTCTGTCCCTCAGGAAGTTTTTACATCCTGTAATCCCCATGGAGTCATGGGCAGGAGATCGGAAGGTAGGAGAGAGAGCTCGGGGGTTTCACCTCTTAGCCCCCTCTCTGGCCCATCCCGACAGTCCCACACCTCGTGTGTGGCTGCACCTCCTCCAGCATGGCCCCTTTACCTCACCTATAGAACAAGGGTCATAATAGCCTCCCACTTTTGTGGGTTCCAGGTGCTTCAACATTCCCTGTGGGTTTCCTGAACCTTGCCCACGTTCCATAAATTTGGTCCCTTCACTAATTCTCCTTTAGTTTGTATAGAATTATTTTCTCTGGGACCCTGCCTGACACACGTATATTCACTCATCTCATGCTCAAATCAACACTGTGAGGTAGATGTTCTGGATATCCCCATTTTACAGAGGGGGAGATTGAAGCTGAAAGAGGTTAAGACTGGTCCCTGGGTCACACAGCTAGAAGTGACCAAGCTGGGATTTGAACCTAGGTTATCTGATACCCTAGGGCCTAGACTCATTATCACTAGACTATTCTGCCTTTAAGATATGCAATTGAGTGAAAAGGCAAGGAATAGTGAGTGTGTAGACGTGATGCCTTTGTACATATACACACAAAAATCTTTGGTTTTGCATATGCATAAGGAACTCAAGAAATACATATAACAAACTGTGGGGCCAGGGAGACTCCATGATTAGATAGGGATTTGGATCAAAATGAGATATATACATTTTCACCTAATTTTGATTTTCAAATCCCATGAATTTATTACTTATTTAAAATCTATATTAAAACATGAATGGTACTGAGCCATTCATGTGCAGAAATGGGATGTGCGGAAATGGGAACCCTCATACGGTGCTGATGTAAATGTAAAATGGTGCAGCCATTGCGGAAAACCATCTGGCAGGTCCTCAAACGGTTAAACATGGAGTTACCATATGACCCAGTGATTCCACTCCTAGAGAACTGGACTTGCGGGAGAATTGAAAATGTATGTATGTTTACTTGATCAGCAGTCTCCTCCTTGGGCTCCCTCCTCCTGCCTTTTCTACCCTTTTCCACTCTGTTTTCCATGTGCAGCCAGAGGGAGCCTATTTAAATGTGTACATGAATGTTCACAGCAGCACTACTTAAAACAGCCCGAAAGTGGAAACAATCCAAATGTCTGTCAGCTGATGAATGGATAAATGAATTGTAGTCCATACACATAATGGAATGTTACTTAGCCATAAAAAGGAATGAAGCATTGACACATACTATAATATAGTTGAACACCGAAAATAATACGCTGAGTGAAAGAAGCCAGAAACAAAGGCCACATATTATATTCATTTGTATAAAATGTCCAGAATAGGCAAATCAACAGAGACAAAAAGATTAGTGGTTGCCAGGGGCTCTGGGGAGGAGGGAATGGGGAGTGACTGCTAATGGATTTCTTTTTGAGGTGACAAAATATGGAATTAGATAGTGGTGATGATTGTACAACCTTGTGAATATACTAAAATTCACTGAATCGTACACTTTTAAATGGTGAATTTTATGGTATGTGAATTATATGGTACCTGCCTAGAAGCCCTCACTGCCTTTGGATACAAGCCTAGGTTCCAATCATGGCTTGACCACTTGCCCTGGAAGCTTGGTAAATCCCTGTGGCTCTACAAACCTCTCCTTAATCCACTGTGAAATGGAGTCAGACTTTGTAAACTCCATGGGGCAGGACCTGGGGGCCACCTTGGTTGCTGTCACCAGGATCCAAAATAGATCCTAATCTAAATCAGGTGGTCAGCAAGTACACGTTGAAAAAATAAAGTCCTTCTTCCCAGAGCCATGGGTTGGGAGTCGAAGGAGCCCACCCACATCTTGCCCCCAGCGCAGAGTGATCCGAGGTGAGTAAGAATGAGGGTCTACAGCCTGTCTACCTGGACTCAAATCTTAGCCCTGCCACTCAGTAGCTATGTGACCTCAGGTAAGTGATTTCACCTCTCAGTGCCTCAGTTTCATCCTCTTGTAATGGGGATGATAATAATAGTATCTATTATTTGGAGTTGTTTATTTATTCATTCAGCAGATCCATACTGAGTAAGTACCACCATGTAACATGTACAATTTAAAACTGAATGTT